GTTCCAGTGTAAATGAACGGGCTCCTTCGCCGTCTCCTGCCATAAGATCTTCCGGGAGGTGAGATAGGTAATTTGCAATTCATCCTAAAGTGTGGGCGTACAAGAAGAAGCGATGGAAGGGGTTTGAACTGCCGACCAACTAATTTTCCTCGTCGCCATGGTGTAGCAGGTTTCCCTGCGCGAGTACGTTGAGGATACGTACTCACGCAGGGAAAGGGGGGGGGAGGGCCATGGTTGTTGGGAAAAATGTTTGAAGTAGTTGACTTCTCTCTTTTTCTGTATCAATTTCGCTATATTCCACCCCCTCCCCATTTCTTCACGCGCTGCCCCCACCTGTTCCCTCCACCTTTCGCTGTACTGTAGTTTTTAGGGGAAAATTGAGAAATTTGGAATGAACTGGGACGGGAAGCTTTGAAGATCAGTTTAGAGAGATGGTAGGTAGTACGGGGAAGGGGGGGGGTGGGTGTATTAGAAGAAGAACTTTTGAGGGGGGGGTCGTTTGTTAAAAAATTATTTGCCAAGGGCAAGACGTGCTCTGCTTGCACCATGTGTGCTTACCGCATTGGCACTTTAACCTCCTGAGGGACCACCTGCTCCATTCTTGACTACTGTAATGAGTACCCAAACTATTATTTAGGTATACATTGTTCCGAGAGCACTCTCTTACTGGTGCACCGCCTATGCGACCTATTTGGTTCGAGTTCCCTAAAGAAGAGAAACACTTTGAAGAAGAAAAGGTGACATGCAGGCTGCAAGGCTGGCGCAGTTTAGCTTGGTGGGGGCACTTGCTATTTATCGAAGTTTGTTCAAACCACCTTGTGAAGACTTGTGAGTTCCTGTCACCAATAAGGCTCATTTATTCCGTTTCGCAGCTTCAATTCCATTTCGCGGCTTCGCAAGGCTTCACTAGTCTCCCCATATTTGGTAAGCCTAGTTAATGACATGAAACTAGCAAAATGTAAAGTGGAAAATGCCCCTATCAACCCAAACAGCGCCAGGAAATCTTTTTATCGAGGCTGAATAATTTCATTCGCTCCTTAAGGCTTGGATGGTCGGTCATGCCTTGCTTGTTCGTGCTGTTGTGGAAAAGGATACTTACAATGTCAACGTCGAGCTACCGTCTGGCGAAGACAAGGTTTTTTGACACTTATCTTCTTTTTGTTTTTTTTACAGAAGAAATTCATATCAAGTCGGCTGAGTTGACATACTTCAGAGCACATCGCTGGTCACGATTGGAAACGGGTACGGGCGGAGAGGCCACAGGCTATCGTACAGTTAGATGCACCCATTAATCACATTCCTGTATTCCAACGTGGTGGAACGATTGTTCCTACTTGGCAAAGAATAAGACGTGCCTCGATTCTGATGCTCCAAGGTAAGGGTTTTGACGAAGTGGTACTACTGATATGTCTTCAGAAGTCTATGTTCTCTTTGCAGGACCCTCTAACGCTGTTCGTCGCTCTTGATCGCGGTGGTAATGCCAAAGGTAATGTGTACCTGGATGACGGCGCCACCCATGATTACAAGCAAGGAGCGTTTGTTGTAGCTGACTTTGCTTACAAGTAAGGGCTTCAATCTTATTTTCGTCTTTTAGTACCTTTTGATATAATTTTTTTGAAGTACGACATCGAATGACGAAGCTGAATTCACGGGTCAGCCAGCAGCTGATAGTGGTAAATACGAGACTGAAACATGGATTGAACGTATAGAAGTACGAGGAGTGGAGCGAACGCCTGCCAAAGTCTCGGTTAGTTCCAAAGTTTTCTTACGCTTTTCAGGAGTGGTAGCGGCTCTCCAACTCGTTCCCAGCCATGGATGGCACTGAAGGCATCTCCATCCTCCCACCCCCCCCCCCTCCCGTTATACAGCGTTGGCCAAACGTTGAGAAAAGATAGACTGAACCAAAACCTGCGGGTTTGTCGTTTAATATCGTAAGATATTGCTTAATCAGTGAAGCACGCTTATCGTTCGTTTAACGACCAGACGCCTTCATTGGGTGCGGTAATCATGAAGATGTACTGCTTTCGCAGTTAAAAAACACGTGAGGAAAGCGCAACCGCTCGCGACATTGACGCGACACCGCCCACTGGCCACGGCCACATCCACCTTCCTTTTTTAACTGTTACCAGATGCGGCTGCTACTAACCCTCTCAATTCCGAGTGGTAAGGGCGAGGTGATAAGGAAAGAGCTGCATGCGAGAACTCGTCCGACACGCCATTTCTTCAACATGCCTTGTACAAGCTCTGTTCGGCGTGAGGTTCTGTATGGGCGTTTTGAACGGGTTTTTGTGCTTTTTTTATCTTCACGTTTGTGTTACTTACCATCTCGTCATGGTTTTTAGGCCGCACAACTCACCACTTTTGGACCCGGGGCGCTTTAGGTTGTCGTGACGCTGCCTTTTGTTTCGTTTTTTCCCCCGTGCTAGTTTTCCCCCATACTTGGAGGGGCAGGAGGTGGTTTAGTCACAAGTGGCGCGCTGATCACTCGCGCGGTCCTGGGTGCAAATTCCGGGCCGACTCCCGCCTAGGCCAAGCCAAG